ATAAAACTAAATAGTCAACTTCAATAAAAACAAATAATAAGTAACATCAAAAAATAATATAAACTCAGCTGAATAGATGAAGCTGTTGATAGTGATGAGTGGACTGTATGAAATGTTTTGGTAATATTGTCGAACATCTGAGTAAGGCGAGTCAGAGTGTAGATCCAGACACGTAATGGCAGATGAGAACAGACGGCGGAAAAGCGACTACGGGCAATGAAGATATTTAGTGGTGAAGGTCAGAGCCCAATCATTAGTGGGCGTGTAAGAGCGCGACAACTTTGAGCACAAGAGTGTAATAAACAAATAAAAGAATAACGGCGTACAACGGCCGAACAATTTACCATTAAAGGGAAGGCGCTTGCTACATAAAAAAATAACACATAAGACAATTGACTGACTGACCCTCGAAGATGAACTTTACACGGATGACAATTGACACGGAGGTCATCGATTTGCCGTGCTGGGGCTGAGTAAAGCAAAGACGCTAGAGATCAGCTGCCATACGATATAATAATATAATCAACGATGTTTATCACAACTGGTCTACTATATCATTGCTAAAGGCGTTTTGTACCAAACAAGTAATTAAATACGAGTAATTTGAATAAACAAAGAGTCCCACAGCAAAGAGTCCGAGGAGACTATATTCGTAAAGTTAAAGAATTTTTATTTGCATTTTAGAAAAAAGTGCATGATTGAATTTTTTGTAATAATTCACTGTGCCACGGTTGAATTATCCCTGTGCATGTGTGTGATCTGCCGTGCCTTGAAGCATATAAAAACACTTCATTTATAAATAAACTTTTAATTTCAGGATGGGGTTAGAGGTTAGAAAAAGTTGTATCCGATAAATATAATTTTATTTTTGTGCTGTATAACGGCTAATAAACTTCTTCTAACCAAACATATTTTCATGGCTTATATAAATATGAATAAATTATTATGAAAAAAGTATATAAATCAATAATAATTACACATATATGCCCGAGTATTTATATATTTAATAATATCTGTTAATAGACTATATAAATTTAATGAAATAATGGTATAAGACTTATACAAGTAATTTAATTTTGTTCAGTAACAATTACTTATTATGTTGCCTACACGATTAATATTTTTTTTTGCACTAATATGTCTTACTAACAGTTCTCCTCCTCTTAAGACAGCCGCAGACTATGAAGTTGCTGAATTTAAAAGAATTATTTCATCTGAAGGATGGAAATCAGCAATTAGTATTTTCTTTAAATTGCCACATGGTAGTGAGGAACCAGTCAATAAAGTATTTAAAGATCGACCTATCATTAATAAGCATGATGCTTCATTGATATTAAGTAATGTTTATGAAAAACTACTAGGTTATTTAAATATTAATTATAGATTGATGTCATATAGATGTAATATTCATAAAAATGACGTGCATAAACTGATGAATTTTTTAACAATATCCAAAGCTATTCTTAAGTTTGAACCATTAATAAGTTGTATGGCTAAAGCACTAAAAAATTTAAATTGTGATAATAAGAATATTGCTTTTAATAATCTTAATAAATCTTTAAATATTATAAAAGATATAAAAAAAATTGAGAAAAAAGAAAGAAGTTATGAATTGATAAATAGTATTTTTGAAAAATATTGTAATAATAATGACACACCTCTTACAATACAAAATTCCGATACCACTGATTCACATATTCCAGATAATTTCATCGACAAGTATATTGAAAAAGTAAGAAAACTTGAAAAAAATTCAATTTTTGACCCAAATCACGCAGATTTTCCAAAAACAGTTAAGGAAGGTGTTACTATGTTTTGCGTAAATTTTGGATTTAAAGAATAAGTACTAAAATAAATAACATCTAGTTTTCTTTATTTTTTTTCCTTACTTTATAATCTAAAAATTACCATTATATAAACTGTAATGTAATACATATATTTTAAAATATAATATCTAATGTATTTTTAATCTAAAATATTACTAAGATTCAATTATTAGATGTAAGACTCTAAATACTTTCTTTTATATATTAAAATAATATAATATTATGTAAATTATTTTAATTTAAATAAATTGTTTACAGCTACATCTATTTCAAATATTTTTTTTATTATTATTTTTAACTCTCGATTACAAATGCCTTTTATTATTTATGACAGTGATGCAATTAGAAATTTTGTATGGGGATCCAGATAACTTTTAGAACGTAGAGTAGTGGGGAAATTCACCCCTTCACAAATACCCACTATTATGATTTTATGTCCAAGAAGTCTGGACCCGGAAACTTCTCCCTGGTTTCGCTACTGATTTATAATTTGATAACATTTCTGTCATTGTCATTGTTAATGTCAACATTTCTGTTATATTAATATTTCAAAAATTATTCAAATGTAAAATAAATTTTACAAAGTAAAACCTAATCAAACTAGACATATGAAATGCGTAAAGAATTTCTCGTTAAAAAATAATCAATATAATTATTTTATAAACATTTAATAGCTTATATCAATTAAAAATTTATGTTTTCTATGTTTCTGAACTTATTACGTTTTAGAGACTATTTGAAATAAAATGATACAAATATTACTTTGGTTGCTTGCTCGCATAATTCATGTGTTAAAAAGAGCCTTAAACAAAGATATTTAAAATATAGCCTTTCTCAAAAAATCTATAAATTCGTATGTTACTTTAAGTATTTTTATAATAATAAGGGAAAGTAACTTTTGAACCCCTTAAAAATTTAATAATCTTATGCCTATTATTTTATAAAAAAAAAAAAGCCAAATTCTTTGTGTATCAACATACTTAGACGTAGGTTATATATACAATCAATATCAGTTAACATCAGTTGTTAATATTGTCGAGTCGGTTTACAAATGATAGCATTTGCAAAATATGTTATAACTTATAACTTATAACTTAATGACGGATTGTATTATTCTTTAGTTGTATCGGTATAACTAAACATAACACCACAGAAACATCTCCGAGATTTAGATAGTACACCCAAAGAAAAACCTCAATCAATTTTGATAGAGAAATTTTATCAAGGGTTTATGATAATGTTTTATTAATACAAACAAAATAATTATTCTTATAAATAATTATTGTTCAATACAAGAAAAAAAATTATCATATTGATAAATATATCATAGGTTCAATAGTAATGATATATTTATAAAATTTAACAATGAATTTATTATATAAATCGAGGTTTTTCTCTGGGTGTAAGTAAACTAAAAGTATATTTGTTTTAAAAAGGCCTACCATTCAAAAAAAAAAAAGTTTGTTCTTCTCTTAAATTTTGGACTGAATACTTTAAAGAATTTAAAATACTACTTAAAAGCTCAGTTTATAATAATAATAAGAACTTAACATGTTTTCAGTCTTCTCAAGTGTTCTAGATTTGCGTCAAATTAAGTTTTTAATGAACTATAAAAACTTAAAATTATAAGTGAATATTGGTAAAATTTTTAGGGTGGCTCTTGATAACAATGTAAACAAATCGACTGCTTAGAAAATATTATTACAATTTCTTTAATGATACAAGAACGCACATAGAAAACTGAATATTATACGTTATTTTTTATTTTAATCTGTTAATTTTCTATTTTTCTAACTAAACATTTATAATTTTTTGTTGTTTAATCATTTAAATGCATATATACATAGAATAGGATAATGAGAATCAAGTTCACACCCTTTGGCTTTAATTGAATCTCTTAAACAAATTAATCACCATAAAAACTTAAAATTTGCTAGAAATACTACTAGATATACAAGATTATCATAATTTTATGAACTAACAGGTTTTTGGTTGAAGGAATAATAATAATTTATATTTTTTAATTTTTTTCGATTCTTCTAGATACATGATATTTTAATTTATCAATTATAAAATATTTTTTATGTTCATCCCTTAAAAGTATAAAGGCTGAAAATAATCACTCTGTATATATATAAATGATAGTCTTTAATAAATGATTAAATAATTAAAATAGTTCATTATGTACACATGTGTATTTTTTTCAATATTTGTCCTTGAGACTCTTTTATTCAAAGATATCCCGTCACTGTTTGCTTTATTCCTATTTATCTTATTACTTTATTTAATGTATTGCTTTTGAACATTTGCAATTATTTTCTGTTGGAATCAAAAATAAACTATGAATAATGTAACTTAAAATGATAATTTTATCAAAAACTATTATTAAATTATGATGACTACTAAAGAGAAGCATTATAAAGAATTTTAAAATAAAAAAAAAATATAATCCATATTTTAGTTATCATACATCATATTTGTGTCCACTATAGATGATATCTAACAGTGATTAAAATCACTATCATAAAAAACGCTTCGATGCGAATCTGTAGATAGTGTTTAATTTTAAAAAATTGGTGGACTAGACCAAAAGTTAGTATAGTTCTCCTAACTATATTATAGTATTTGCAACTGTCCTTGTCAGTAATTCTACCCAGTAACGTATGGTTGGATCAACCAAATTAATTTAGTTATTATACATAGTTATTTTTACCCAAGTATTTAGTTAGAGCAACTATATAGTATAGGTAATACAACCATATTATTATGGATAACTGGACAACAAATATAAAATAAAAATGTTATTTAGCGTTTGTTATTGTTTGTAAGTACTATTATAACTTGTACAATGATATGTTAATTAATGCGCTATTAGGTTTTGATTGTTTAATAATTGAACAATGAGTTAATTGTTAGTACACAGGAAAAATTTATTCAGATATCTTTATAAAACTTTTGTTGCCTGGACCGCGTTTGAATTCATCGATGGAAAAATAGCCTCTTTTTCCAGACGCGCCGTTGAGCTTATTGGCCGATGTGTATGAACGACTCATCATTCGTTGATTTATTGAGAACGATAGTCGACGAAAACTTAAGCTGATCTATATATCTATATATTTTTTTCCTTAATTGTTTAATTTTGATAATTAACATATATAATAATATAATTTAACAATATATTATAAAATAATTACAATAATGGATGAATGGACTCAAAATAAGTTGAAAGATATAAATCTAGAACAGCTAATTCAAGCTTTTGAAGGTAAGGAAAGTATTCATTACATTATATATTTACTAGAGAATATTATAGTTTTTTGAATTCTTTTAAATGATCAACGGTAGAAAAATGACAATTTTGTTAAATTTTTGCCCGTCTAATATAAATATTAATTATGTATATATTTATATTAGTAAAACAATGAAAATAAATTTTTATTTAAATTAAAATCAAATGATTTTTAAAAAAGAATTTCACACAGGAATAAATCAAATGATCATTAACTGTAGAATACAATATTTAATAATACAATTCACTATTCAAACCTATAAATTTCGGTAATTTAAAATGTTGATAAATTTTAGTTTTAATATTTAAATAAATACTTAACATTCGTACGGTAAAAAAAAGTTATAAATATTTTTTATAACACTATGAAAAATATTTATATAATCATTCCTAGGAAAAATAAAGTTTTTCATAAATAATAAATAAAAATATTAAATATACACAAATTGTTAGATAAAGAGATCGATAGAATTGCATACATGTCCTTGACAGAGAACATGCTAAAAGATTTGGTACATAAAATTGGTTGGAGGTCCAAAATTTTTAAAGATATATTTCAATCTAAAAGTACCGAAAATCAAACATTAGAGGTAATAAAACAAAGTTTGTATTTATAGTTAAGTAATAAATGACATAAAAAATTTAATTCATCTTCATCCATTTATTATTTTATAAATAATAAAATTTAATATAAAATTAATACGCTTTCTTTGCAAAAAAAAAAAAAAANNAATTAAAAATTTATGTTTTCTATGTTTCTGAACTTATTACGTTTTAGAGACTATTTGAAATAAAATGATACAAATATTACTTTGGTTGCTTGCTCGCATAATTCATGTGTTAAAAAGAGCCTTAAACAAAGATATTTAAAATATAGCCTTTCTCAAAAAATCTATAAATTCGTATGTTACTTTAAGTATTTTTATAATAATAAGGGAAAGTAACTTTTGAACCCCTTAAAAATTTAATAATCTTATGCCTATTATTTTATAAAAAAAAAAAAGCCAAATTCTTTGTGTATCAACATACTTAGACGTAGGTTATATATACAATCAATATCAGTTAACATCAGTTGTTAATATTGTCGAGTCGGTTTACAAATGATAGCATTTGCAAAATATGTTATAACTTATAACTTATAACTTAATGACGGATTGTATTATTCTTTAGTTGTATCGGTATAACTAAACATAACACCACAGAAACATCTCCGAGATTTAGATAGTACACCCAAAGAAAAACCTCAATCAATTTTGATAGAGAAATTTTATCAAGGGTTTATGATAATGTTTTATTAATACAAACAAAATAATTATTCTTATAAATAATTATTGTTCAATACAAGAAAAAAAATTATCATATTGATAAATATATCATAGGTTCAATAGTAATGATATATTTATAAAATTTAACAATGAATTTATTATATAAATCGAGGTTTTTCTCTGGGTGTAAGTAAACTAAAAGTATATTTGTTTTAAAAAGGCCTACCATTCAAAAAAAAAAAAGTTTGTTCTTCTCTTAAATTTTGGACTGAATACTTTAAAGAATTTAAAATACTACTTAAAAGCTCAGTTTATAATAATAATAAGAACTTAACATGTTTTCAGTCTTCTCAAGTGTTCTAGATTTGCGTCAAATTAAGTTTTTAATGAACTATAAAAACTTAAAATTATAAGTGAATATTGGTAAAATTTTTAGGGTGGCTCTTGATAACAATGTAAACAAATCGACTGCTTAGAAAATATTATTACAATTTCTTTAATGATACAAGAACGCACATAGAAAACTGAATATTATACGTTATTTTTTATTTTAATCTGTTAATTTTCTATTTTTCTAACTAAACATTTATAATTTTTTGTTGTTTAATCATTTAAATGCATATATACATAGAATAGGATAATGAGAATCAAGTTCACACCCTTTGGCTTTAATTGAATCTCTTAAACAAATTAATCACCATAAAAACTTAAAATTTGCTAGAAATACTACTAGATATACAAGATTATCATAATTTTATGAACTAACAGGTTTTTGGTTGAAGGAATAATAATAATTTATATTTTTTAATTTTTTTCGATTCTTCTAGATACATGATATTTTAATTTATCAATTATAAAATATTTTTTATGTTCATCCCTTAAAAGTATAAAGGCTGAAAATAATCACTCTGTATATATATAAATGATAGTCTTTAATAAATGATTAAATAATTAAAATAGTTCATTATGTACACATGTGTATTTTTTTCAATATTTGTCCTTGAGACTCTTTTATTCAAAGATATCCCGTCACTGTTTGCTTTATTCCTATTTATCTTATTACTTTATTTAATGTATTGCTTTTGAACATTTGCAATTATTTTCTGTTGGAATCAAAAATAAACTATGAATAATGTAACTTAAAAAGATAATTTTATCAAAAACTATTATTAAATTATGATGACTACTAAAGAGAAGCATTATAAAGAATTTTAAAATAAAAAAAAAATATAATCCATATTTTAGTTATCATACATCATATTTGTGTCCACTATAGATGATATCTAACAGTGATTAAAATCACTATCATAAAAAACGCTTCGATGCGAATCTGTAGATAGTGTTTAATTTTAAAAAATTGGTGGACTAGTCCAAAAGTTAGTATAGTTCTCCTAACTATATTATAGTATTTGCAACTGTCCTTGTCAATAATTCTACCCAGTAACGTATGGTTGGATCAACCAAATTAATTTAGTTATTATACATAGTTATTTTTACCCAAGTATTTAGTTAGAGCAACTATATAGTATAGGTAATACAACCATATTATTATGGATAACTGGACAACAAATATAAAATAAAAATGTTATTTAGCGTTTGTTATTGTTTGTAAGTACTGTTATAACTTGTACAATGATATGTTAATTAATGCGCTATTAGGTTTTGATTGTTTAATAATTGAACAATGAGTTAATTGTTAGTACACAGGAAAAATTTATTCAGATATCTTTATAAAACTTTTGTTGCCTGGACCGCGTTTGAATTCATCGATGGAAAAATAGCCTCTTTTTCCAGACGCGCCGTTGAGCTTATTGGCCGATGTGTATGAACGACTCATCATTCGTTGATTTATTGAGAACGATAGTCGACGAAAACTTAAGCTGATCTATATATCTATATATTTTTTTCCTTAATTGTTTAATTTTGATAATTAACATATATAATAATATAATTTAACAATATATTATAAAATAATTACAATAATGGATGAATGGACTCAAAATAAGTTGAAAGATATAAATCTAGAACAGCTAATTCAAGCTTTTGAAGGTAAGGAAAGTATTCATTACATTATATATTTACTAGAGAATATTATAGTTTTTTGAATTCTTTTAAATGATCAACGGTAGAAAAATGACAATTTTGTTAAATTTTTGCCCGTCTAATATAAATATTAATTATGTATATATTTATATTAGTAAAACAATGAAAATAAATTTTTATTTAAATTAAAATCAAATGATTTTTAAAAAAGAATTTCACACAGGAATAAATCAAATGATCATTAACTGTAGAATACAATATTTAATAATACAATTCACTATTCAAACCTATAAATTTCGGTAATTTAAAATGTTGATAAATTTTAGTTTTAATATTTAAATAAATACTTAACATTCGTACGGTAAAAAAAAGTTATAAATATTTTTTATACCACTATGAAAAATATTTATATAATCATTCCTAGGAAAAATAAAGTTTTTCAAAAGTAATAAATAAAAATATTAAATATACACAAATTATTAGATGAAGAGATCGATAGAATTGCATACATGTCCTTGACAGAGAACATGCTAAAATATTTGGTACATAAAATTGGTTGGAGGTCCAAAATTTTTAAAGATATATTGAAATCTAAAAGTACCGAAAATTAAACATTAGAGGTAATAAAACAAAGTTTGTATTTATGGTTAAGTAATACATGACATAAAAAATTTAATATATCTTCATCCATTTATTATTTTATAAATAATAAAATTTAATATAAAATTAATACGCTTTCTTTGCAAAAAAAAAAAAAAAATATAACAATTTTTTAAATTAATCTAAGTATTTAATAGTCAAAAATATTAATTTAACAGACGTCATTTATTTTAGTGAATCTGATAAAAAAAAATTAGCTTATAATTCCAATATGAACGTACAGGTTGTTCCATCAGGTTCTAACATCCTTATTAATTTTTGATAGAAAAAAAATGTTGTGTTAACTGTTTTTTTAATTGTTTTTTAGTTTTGGACTACACTAAAAACATACTATACTATTTCTTTTTAATAGAATAAATAATAATAACAAACATTTTTATTTTACAATTGATTGGGAAAAATTAAACAAACAAAAATTGTTTTTCTCTGTAGACATTTTTTGAGGTTGATTTTATTAACTCCTAAGTTAATTTTCAACCAGGTTTAGTAATATCCAAAAAAGTATACTTCTAATACATAAAAATACACAGAACCAATCATTTTGTGAACAATAATCTTACTTTAGACCCTGAGCACCCTAAATCTTAATTTTTGAAATGCTAAATAAAAGAATTAATTTTAGTGAAAAAAAAAAACAAAACAATTTTTTTCTCAATGTTATTGCTCTGAAATCTTTTATCTAATTTAAGAATTTTAAAATGAAACATAAAATTCTTATTCAACGACATTTTATACTTTAAAAAAGCATTTATTAATAGCTAATTTAAATAATCCTTTATTTTTTTCGTTTAAAAAAAATACAAAATAAGACTATTTAATTGATGAAGCATCTTAAAAATATATTTTTAGGATAGCTACTTGATGTCTCATGTACATAATTTTATTAATTAATATTTATCAAACAATTATTTTAATTATTTAAAAAAAAAAACAACTTATATCCTTCAAAATATTTATAATAATTAATTATTCATTATATTAAAAGCTGTAATGCCTGTCTTGAGAATAAAATTTAACAGCTTGGTTATGAAGAGTTAATGGTTTAGAAACTGAAACATTACAATCGTTTTGGAATTTTGTTGTTAATTAATTTTTAAACAATTAAGATACACAAAAATTTAAGTAAATAATTTTTTTTGAGGAATATATTTTGCTAATTATGTTTACATTTCTTACATATTCTAGTCACATTATTAACAATTTATTTTATGTTTTACTAGTTTAAATTTTATAAATTATTGTGTTGTATTAATATTTCAGGTATTTGAAATCCAAACTCCTCTCACTGAAATCAATAGTAATATAAATTGTGATATAAATAAAATATATACATTTGAATATGAAGAAGAGAATAATCATGAGGTTGAAATAAAAGAGAATTAAACAGCTGAATGTAGTAAAACTACAAACATCAAAATTGAAGTAATAATAGTATTTTTACGCAATATTGATAATAAGTTATACATATAATTGAGTGTACTCAGAGGCTATTATAAATGAATATTTTAATGTTTTGTGTACACCTTTTAATAAATTAAATACAGAACACTTAAGGTTTAAAGCTATGGACGACTTTGGAACATTTATTAGACCAGTAGGCACTACAGTTAATTATCGATCTAATGACACACTTCAGGGAGGTAATTTGATTGTTCAACCATCTCCCATAAAAATTTACAGTGTACCTCTTGAAAAATTATTCAAACAATTTTTTGAGATTCCTTATGTTTATGAGGTATTTATGAATTATTCTCAATATTTAATGACTGAAAATTTCAATGGAATTGTAATCAATTTTCTCCAGAGTNGTGTACCTCTTGAAAAATTGTTCAAACAATTTTTTGAGATTCCTAATGCTTATGAGGTATTTATGAATTATTCTCAATATTTAATGACTGAAAATTTCAACGGAATTGTAATCAATTTTCTCCAGAGTAAATTATGGAGAGACAAACTGGCACTACCCATTAACTAGGATAAAATAATTTTTCCTTTTTTTCTTTATTATGATGACTACGAGACAAATAATATTCTAGGAAGTCGTGCAGGAATTCAAAATTTAGGAGCAGTATACTTAAGTTTACCAGGTTGTCTTTCAGAATTTTCTTCTAAATTAGAAAATATATTTTTAATATTATTGTTTCACACAGCCGGTAAAAAAAAATTGGGAAATTTTACAATATTTAATAAATTGATTTCAGATATTAATATGTTAGAAACAAACGGGATCTTTATCAATGTGAATAATTTAAACATTAAAATATATTTTCGTTAGCCCTTATTTTAGGCGATAACTTAGGATTACATAGTATTCTAGGTTTTTCAGAATCTTTTAACTCTAATTATCCTTGCCGATTCTGCCTTTGCTCCAAGGCTGAATGGAATTCATGTACAGTTCAAAACAATAATAAACTTATTACATATGAAAATTATTCCGAACAAATCCTTTCCCCCAGTGTCTCGACAACTGGTGTTGTTATAATTAATTTCATGTTACTAATAATTTTTCTGTTGATATCATGCACGACTTGTTGGAGGGTGTTTGTGACTATGAATTAACCGGTATTTTAAGGTATCTTATAGTTAACTCATGTTATTTTTCCTTAGAAACTCTGAATCAACGAATTCATTTCTTTAATGACGGTCCTACTGATATAAGAAACAGGCCACAAGGCATATCAGAAATTCATTTAAAAAGTTCAAACCCTCAAATGCTTAAAATGAATGCTAGTGAAACTTGGTGTTTCACTGAGTATTTAGGACTTATTATTGGGGAATTGGTGCCCAAAGGTAATCAAGTGTGGGGTTTATATATTTTACTTAATAAGATAATAAATATTATTACTTCGTATTCTATTGTACCTGACGATATAGATATACTCAAAAATTTAATAGATGAACATCATCAAATTTTTATTAATCTGATGAAAACTAATTTAAAGCCAAAGAGTCATCATATGGTACACTATTCTTTAATAATAGACAAAATAGGGCCACTGATAAATATATGGTCTATGCGCTATGAAGCAAAACATAAAGAGTCAAAAGTTGCTGCTCAAGCCACGTCCAGTCGAACAAATATATGTTATACTCTATTTTTAAAAAATCAGCTTAAAGTTTCCCACACATTAAACAGCAAAAATAATAGCTTTGACCCATCAATTTTATTTAACATCGGAAAATGTGTTATATTGTCAATAGAGGAAACACAATTAATTTCAAATAATATTTCTAAAATAAACAATTATAAATTTGTTTCTTGGGTAGAGTGGTTAGGGACTAGATTCTCAGTAAATAATATGTGTGTATATGTTGACATAAAAGTGGATGACGGTTTACCTGTATTTGCTCTTATTAAGCATATTTGTGTTTCCCCAGATATGCGTCCTTTTTTAATTTGTAAATTATATAAAACTGACGGATTTTATGAACATTATCAATCGTATATGTTCATTTTACCGAAAAAACGGTTAAGATAGATATGAAATATTTAGGCCTACATTTTGTTTTGCACACAAAAATGGTGATTTGTATATTGTATAATTTTTATTTTTATGTTTTGTGAATAAACTGATTATATTTATGTTATATAAAGTATATTTTATAAAGTTCTTAAATTATTATCAAATCCATTAACACATAATATTATTATATACGCATTTATACGTAGTATACGACAAAAAAATACTCTAAAAATACGGTAACACTTAACAAATAGTCAACAATTTAGTTTGGTAGGCTTAACCAAACGTATAGTTAAGTTAACTATAATGTATGGCTCATACAACCATTTCATTAGGTTACTACAACCTATTCCACAAAAGTTCATACAACTATGTCACATAGTTATAACAACCATAAGATACTAACCACATAAGCATGGTAATTTTAACCATAGTGCATAGCTGTCGCTATACTAACATTAAATTTTGGGGTACCGTAACCATTTAAATGGTTAACCTAACCATAATTTTTTTCCGTGTAAAGACAAAAAAAAGTCCGACATTTTTTTTTTCTAGAATTGAGTATATTGTTTATAATAATTATTATATATGTATATTATTGCCTATTATATTGTATATTATAAAGTTAAAATGGTTCTCATTAAAATTTCGAAGATCGACTCTTTTTGATTCACCTTACTACAGAGTTTTTCGATATTCATTTGTCTGTACAGTGACGCAAGCTTTCCAAGTCGGCGTAAACAATCTAAATTATTAACGTTACCGGTTCCTCCCGTCTCGTATTTTTGAACTGCAATATTGACTGGTTCGAATCGACTGGACGTAGGACAGCTACCGCTTCCCTAAACTTACCACATATTTTCATATGATCATCCTGACCAGCTTGTCCACTCAGACAGGACGACAGCGTTCGGTCTGTAAACACGCTGAGGCAGCGCTTACAATAGATTTTATGATGATGACCGGCACTCGGTTGTTTGAAAACTAATTTTTTAACAGAAATTTTTTATGTAGCAATAATGTCTATTACCACTCTCCGTGATGTAAAGTACATCGATGTGTTTGGTGTTCGAACGTGAATTGGTAATACGCAACGGATAAACATTATTTTTATCGTCCAATGCAAACACTTTGATGGACAAAAACGGGCTGTTGGGTCAAACTTATTTATTTGTTTAATTGGAGTGGGAAAATCAATACCGCTAAAATTAATATTTGAATTTTTTTTAAATCGAGGTAACCCGAATTCCACTTTTTTTTTTTGTGTGTCTGTTACCACTTTTTCTCAGCTCTCACCGGACCGATTTCTTTCAACGATACGTCAAAAGATCACAAAACGTATCTATTCGAAGACATTACCCTTAAAAATTGAAAAAAATTTCCCTCGTTCCCAGTAAATGGGGGAAACCTTCAAAAAAATTTCAAATTGAAAAAAAATCGCTAATTTTCGAATTTTTTTCAATTTCTTTTACTGAAAACTGCCATAATATTTTTAAAAATGACCAAATCAATATAATTTTTTTTTATAGATGCTTGATATCTTTACTTATCATTTCGTATATTTTTTGACCCATTACCAGCCCACAGGGAGGGGATTTAAAAAGATAACTTTTTCACAAAAAATAAACTTTTTAAATTGTTTTAAAGTCTGACACTATTATATATATCTTAAATTAAAACTAATGTAATGTGCTTTATTATGGAAAAAAAATATTTCGGACTTGACACGGCCCGTAATAGTGTACTATTGATTTACTGTGAATTAGCACGTTTCCGGTCGTGATTATCAGCTGTCAACCGTCGCACTCATTAGTGTTGACGATGACACTAGTTTGTCCTGTCCGGCGGTCGGTAGATAGGACAGGTCAGGGGAGTGCAGCACCGCGAGACATGTCGGCGACTATGTAAAACAGTTCATCTGTGACTTACATCCGTCGCATGTGCCGTGTTATTTACCAGCGTCTTATTTTTTAATCCGCACCTTTCGATTCACCCGTCAGTTGTATATTATAGTGTTAATATTATTATAACTTAAAATAAAATAAATTGACATAAATCATAACGACGTTACAATTTATTTTATCCATTAACTTTTAATTACCGTGTCAGACTTTATTTTGTCTTCACGGTGAAAATAGTTACCGAATGCTATTTGTGTGTGAAAATTCTCGATTTTATATTTTACATTTTTTACTTTATAATGCTATAATTTATTGAAAAGTGAATGGATCAATACAATTTTTTTATGAGAAATAATATTTATAATTTTTTTAAATTAAACACTATCTAAGGATTTGGATCGAAGCGCTTTTATGATAGTGATTTTAATCACTGTCAGATATCATTATACTTGATCCAATTATTATACCTCGATAGAATCGCCCATTTAAAACATTGATTGTCGGTTTTATTTTGAACGTTTATAACAGCGTGTTTGTGTTTAATACACGATGGAAGATCAATGAAACAACTACCATGCAACGGTGAAAATGTTGTCACCCTCAATATTAGTCCGTCTATGAACAGCAATGTCTATCCGCTTGGATTCCATTGTTTCTTGTTCCTGGGCAAGTTTTTGTTGCGTGTTTGAGTCGTCTCTCAGTTCACCCATAACTTGATGTAAATAATTTTTGTACAGCACAACGTTTAATTTTATTAATCCACCTTCGCTCAAATCTTTCAATATATCAAATAAATCAACACCGATGAAATGTCTTTTCAACTTCGGTTTTGTTTTAAAAAAAAAAAAAATGTTTACCCGTCCTCTAAGAGCTGTTTCTATCGGCATAAAACCCGAACCTACTGTATGCATACACATACGTTTGGTAACTTCACCCTTCATTGTACGTGTCGACAAGGGTACGTAGACAACCTACAGTAGCAATAACCACTTGTACCCACGTTCAATTTATAATGCAATCTTAATCCGTCATTATCGATAAACGAACGACCGTAACCGCAAACATTTTCATATGAATTCGACATATTAATAACTATAATTAGTAAATACGTTCACATTTAACAAAAAAATATATCTATATTTCATAAAGCCTACACCACTATTCAACTATTCAGTTCAATGTTTAATATTCTTTTAAAGTTTTTATATTTTATTTTTTCATTGAACAGTAACATTTCAATATTGTGTTAGATATTATTCATTAAGGTAAAAATGCTATAGGTTTCAATAATGACACCATGAGTAATAAATTATTCAAAATATTCATAAAGTTTGTTTGAAAATTGAAATTTTAATTACATTAAATGTACTTTTTCTTTTTATATTGATTCTCCTGGAATCGATACATTTTGAATAGTTGGCCTTTAACTACATATGTGTTATAATTAGAAATATATAAACACACAATAAGATTATTTAAAGAATCTGATTATTTTTTATTTAAATAATTAAATTATTCAACAGTCAATATTATTATTATTATTATTTATGCAAGCATTTCCGATTTTGTCATTAAATTTTAAGAATATTTTTTTGTCACTGTTATTGTATTCGATAATTTCTTCATCCGTTAATTTTATTCTTGGTTTGAACACATGCTTGTTGTCATGAGTTGGGCAACCACCACCATACTATTTCTTGTATTAACATTTTTCATAGCTAATACTTTATATTTCTTTCTCTTTGAGATCGCTGAGTTTTAAATAACCTCTAACTTCAGCTTGTTAATTAAATTTATTATTCAAGCTGCCCATATCTACCTTAATATATAATATTATTTATATTATATGTATGAAAACAGTTATTTTATATTATCATTTTCTAAATATTGTACATAAATAGTTGTATAAATACTATTCAGAAGATACCCAACTATTCAGTAAGTTATATCTTTGTAAGTCATCTTCTAAAACATAATATTAACTTTTTCTTTTCAATTTTTAACATCTTGTTCATTTATTATTAAAGTAACCAGAGATAGAAATAAAATTTATTTTAACAAAGTTAAAGAAAAAAAAACATTTAGGTACACATCAATAATTATTCCAACATTTTCAAAAATTTAAAAAAAAAAATAAATAATATATACATAAGTTATTTTGAATGAACCATTTAAATAATTTATCATCACATAAATTACATATTTACTGTGATCGAAAATTAAAAATTAAATAAAACATACTATTTTGATTAATAGATATTTGATCTATGACATATTTTATTATAAAACTATCTTGGTCATATGCCATATCACGTATACTATCATCAGTTGTGCACACAGAATAAATAAATTCATTATTTACATTATGAGATAATACAGAATAAAAATTGAATTTTAAATAATTTTTTTGCCTAAACAATAAATTGTAAGCGCCTGATCATATCTCAGATGTATACATTTCACAATAATTTCTAATCATATCTAGCATTACGGGACTTTTTATTCCATCTTCATATTTAATGTCTTGTCCAGACGCCGTAAATTTCTTGATTCGTACAAAATGCCTGCCAATATATTAAATTGAGAAACATTTTGTGTTTTTTACGGTATCTTTAACGTCATTAATGCTCAATGAAAGATGCGTTGTATAAAAGTTTTACGATTATAATTAATATAAAGAAATATGTATATTTCGGAGTTTAGTAAAAAAAATTGTAATAACTTACTGTGATTTTTATTCTCAAACAACAAAAATATACAACAAACATACGTATGAAATTAATATAAACGCGATAAAAACAATTAACATCTCGGTGAAAAATTTATTTTCAATAATTGCAAATGAACACAGTGAAAATATCTTCCTAAAAATTAAAAATTATTTTTACAAACATTACTTCGGATAAAATATATAAATATGTAAAATATAACATAGTTTAACTTGATTTTTGAATTTTTTCTTCCCAATTTGAAATATGACTCATCTGAGTGTGCATGAAATCTGCCCCAAATATTTTGAACAGAGTTGTTTTACTTTGAAAAATATAACTATATATTACTTACGTTTTTAATGATTTTCGATCTTCTATATTAAAAAATAAGACTGATGAACATAGAGAAACTAGTAGAACACATGAAAACGAATTATTAAACGTAGATAAGTTGTTTCTCCAGTTTTATTGCAAAATAGATTTTCTATTTACATGTATAAACGTGATAATCTATAAGATAAAATCCCTTTAGAGAGAGTAGTTTATGGGGATAGATGAAGATAATTAGAAAATTAACGGTGGATAGGTACTTGTATTTCTAGTAATAAGATAAATCAATTATTTGAACTCATGTAAAAGTGTTCTATTGTTTAAGAGAAAACTCTTTAGAAGTATTCATGATTTTAATTGTTTGTATAGATAAAGCTGGTTAAGCTACTTGTTATTTAATTGAGGGATATTTTTTTTCAATTTTTGAGGGCAATATCTTCAACTAAATACGAATTGTAATCATTTGAAGTATCGTTGAAAAGAGTAGGTTAAGTGAGAGTTGGAAAAATAAATCGCAGCCTCAAAAAAAACATAAGTTAAATAATATTAACATGAATAAAAAAATTCTTCTCACGAGGGGAGACTATAGTGATGGGATCTTTGATATTTATTGAAGTTATTGAATGTTAATGAGATAAAAATCAAATGATTTGAAAATTTTATACTAACTCAAAAAAAAATGCAAAATATTAATTGCCACAGACGGATAGGAACCTCGTGCCCATTACGTGAAATATTCAAATGTTACCGATTGGGCAACTGTTCGTCACTTTCGACGTATAATAAAATTAACAATTTAAGCTAACTCAAATTTAAAAGTTACTTTTTCGACTTTAAATAAGTTTAATTTCTTATGTTTTATGAACTTTATTCTATGTCAATTAAATTATATAATATTCATGAAAGTCAATATTTTCTCCTAATAAGATATTTAAAAATAAAATAAAATACAAAACCTAGAATTTTAATAGAAAAATAGCATATTTTTGAATACGGTAGCCGTTTGCGAATAGAATATAGGTCGTCGGGACAAATTTTTTTTTTCATTTTATAGTACATAAAATAAGCTTTAATTTGATATATGTTTAAAGGACTCAGTATTTTCGGAACATTTTCAAAAATTAAGTTGAAAAAGTTAGTTTTTGTAAAAAAATTGTTATTTTAAATCCCCCTTGTGAGTAGAATAAGTGTTAGATTTTCAAAAAAATGATATCAAATGAAAGGGAAATATCTAAGGTTTTAGTATAAAAAAAATTATGTTGATTTTTGAAAAAGTTATGGAAGTATTAAGAAAAAAAAGTGAAAAAAATGACAAAATTTACCGATTTTAAAAATTGTAATTTTTTGTGAGATTTCCCTCATTTGCGGGGAACAAGAGAAAATATTATGGCAGTTTTCAGTAAAAAAAATTGAAAAAAATTCGAAAATTAGCGATTTTTTTTTAATTTGAAATTTTTTTAGAGGTTTCCCCCATTTACTGGGAACGAGGGAAATTTTTTTCAATTTTTAATGGTAATGTGTTCAACTAGATACGGTTTGTGATCTTTTGACGTATCGTTGAAAGAAATTGGTCCGGTGAGAGCTGAGAAAAAGTAGCGACAGACACAAAAATAAATAAATAAATAAACACATCATGGTGAAATTAATACCTTCTCAGCTTCCCATCGAAGCTAAAATAAAAGGGGATCATCGATATTGATTTCATAGAAAAGACAGATGGTGGTGACGAAAACATTTTCAGACTTCTAGGACCGGCCGTTTCCGAGTTACGGGCGATTTTATGTGAATTTTCCCAAAATTCACATTTACCGTAAACGATACAACAAAATTAAAGGCTAACGGAGGTCCCTGACTTCGCCGTGACATCAAATTAACGTCAGAACTACGCCTGGCATGGAGTTCACGTACAGTACACGACGTCATATTGACGCAGTACGAGGAGCACACGCCGCTGTAGTATACACTCGGTAGGGATACATACGTCACTTATAGGACACCACACAGTTGGGCTCCCGGAAACTACACCACCTGTGTTTGTCACGTAAACACTGTCACAATTTTATTAACACGCTTTTATTAGTGTCACATATATGTTTGTTGTAAGTTTGTAACTCAACGCGGCACGTGTTATTATGTCGCGTTCCCGTCGTCTATGACCTTGAGTTTAGACTGTCGTAACGCATTCACCCCACCCAGCTCACCACTCGCCGCAAACACAATTTTCCTGTATAATTTTATTTTTGGTTTTCGTACCCGTATACGCGTGCGTGTCATCAATTGTATATATATATATATATATATAAATAACAAATTTTTATTGTAATTGACACGGCCCCGCGTCGTTTCCTTATACACAATGGCCCCAACTCATGCCACTTTTATCAGCCGTAGCCCTATTTTATGAGTATTTGACTGACCAACACCGCGCGTTATACGCCGCGGTGCAAAGTCCAGCAAGTGCCGCACGGCCGACGACGTCCCGCCGCAAATGATTCCGTAGTCTTCTTCCCGTTTTCAAAGTGGCAACATCAATAAACCGATCTCCACTCACGCACCGTCGCCTTCAACGCTGCTAACCTTTTGACGCCCGAGGATCACGCCGGACATCGCGTCGTCGACGCCAGCGAAAGTGCCGCGATATTATGCGATGATCATATATTCCTACCGCCGTCGCTAATATTAATATATATATATATATATATTATTATTTGTACGTATATACGTATATGTTAATATTCATTTATATATTCCTATAGCCGACGCCGCTGCCGCCGTATATGCCTCGTGTATAATGTTTCCCCCGCCACGCCCGCCCACAAAACACGGCTATACCTCGTGTTTGATACGTTTACGTACTTAAGTCGCTTTACATGTATATATATATATATTCTAATTACTATTAAAACTTATATATTAATACGCTTTATTCTCATTAAGAGATATGTAGTGTATTCATTCCGATTACGGGAGATGATTCCCGTATGTCATTTTTCGTCACTACTTCCACGTAGCGCGCCTGCTGCTTTTCTTGGGGATGTGGTAGCCGTTTTTCAGACTCCCTCTCCGGAATCGAACCCTGATTTCCCGTTACCCCTTACAACCATGATATTGATATTAACTATTATCATAACATGAAACTAAAAAGTGAAAATTAAATATAGTTTAAAAAAACTAAAAAACACACTTTTAAAGCACATAGAACTAAAAAGTTAAAAATAATACCAGTATTTTTCGTTCATTATTGTTTTAAGTTAATTTTAAAAATTTTTTTTAACATTTTAATTCGATGTGCTTTAAAAGCGTCTTTTTTAGTTTTTTTAAACTATATTTATTTTTCACTTTTTATAATAATTTCGGGTTGGGGTTAGAAGTTAGAAAAATTTTTATCCCATAAATATAATTTTATTCTTGTGCTGTACAACAACAAATAAACTTCTTCTAACCAACATATTTTAATGGGTTGTATAAGTATGAATAAATTATTATGTTAAAAAAAAAATATAAATCAATAATAATTAAACATAATATGTTATATATACATATACATATGTTAAATATATTATATGCCCGAGTATTCATGCATTTAATAATATCTGTTAATAAATTATATAAATTCAATGAAATAATGGTATTACTTACACGAGCAATTTTTTATTATGTTGTCTACGCGATTAATATTATTTTTTGTACTAATATGTCTTACTAGCAGTTCTCGTCATCTTGATACAACAACAGATAATGAAGATGCTGAATTTAAAAGAAATATTTCATCTGATGGATGGAAAACTATAACTAGTGTTTATTTTAAATTTCCATATGGTAGTAAGGTATCAGTCAATAAAGTATTCAAAGAAGATCATCCTACCATTGTTAAGCAAGATGCTTTATTGATATTAAGAAAAGTTTATGAAAAACTAGTAGGTTTAAATTGTACTTATAGATGGATGTCATTTGGATATAATCGTCAGCCAGATAACGTGTTTAAAGTGAACAATTATTTAAAATTAGTCGCAGCTATTCTTAAGTTTGAACAATTAATAAGTTGTATGGCTAGAGCATTAAAATATTTAAATTGTGATGATGAGAATAAAGTTCTGTAGTGAATCAAAAAGAGAAATTAAGGGGGTTTATTACTTGTATTAATTTAGAGAGAACTTTAAAGTTACTTAAAATAAATTAACTAAGATAAATATGACGGGATTTGGGTGCTTATCTGAGTGACTAATTTATTGTATTAATAATATTGTTACTCGGGGTATGAGTATTAGGGTCTGTAAGAAAGATAGAAGATGATAAAAAAATAAAGTGATCTTTGTTTTATTAATATGGGATTTATTATAATTAACTGTCAATTCTTATATATCAATAATGCCACGAGTTTTGACGGTTATCGATGAAAGGTGGGATTGAGTCACCTCGTGTGTCTACCCAGAGTGGTATGGTGGCTATACATATGAACCTCCAACCTAACTCCTGAAATAGACACGTATTAACGATATAACTCTGCCAAGTAACTCTGTACAAACATTATTGATTTATAAATATTACTAGGTATATTGATTATTATTGATGATCACTTGATTTTCCTGTATGTATACTTAATCTATGTACTCATAAAATTCTAAACCTTATATATTTTTGATGAAATTATTAGATTCCTACCTTGATATTTTTCTGTGACACTTTTAAATAAATAGATGTTGTATTTTCTTATACAAATTTAATTGTGAAGACGGCATATCACTTCTTGCATATATTTCGTTATGATTGAGCGTAGTGAGTGCCTCTATGAATATTTGACCGGATCTGTCCCGGAATGCTTATTATTTTGGGCTTTTGTATTAAATTAGATCGTGGTTAAAAGGCAAGAAGTGATCACCGACGCCATCATTATTTCTTTATAAATCGTAATTTATTACATTTTTATCAACAATGATCTACATTTCATAATGTTCCGCCGTTTGTTCTATAAAATCTCACACATTATTTATTACCTTATGTGTAACACATTATTATTACATATTGTTTATCATTTCCTGTTTCTATTGTATAATTAAAATTCATTTTTTGTGAT